CGTAAGGACAGTCCCAGCCACAACAGGGGTTCTACACAATGTAATTATCATGACTCCATCTCTGTGTACTGGCCATGCCCCGCATGCCAGAGGGATCTTACGAGAAGCAAGGGTTTTAAGAACCACCTCGACACTGAGCCCGGCAAATGCTGTTTTGCCGAGCCGTTCAATTTCCCAGATGATCATGATCCCGAGGGCCGCATTGTGCCAGCTTGGTGGAAACCCTTACCCGAGCCTGGTGAGGGCCAAGCTTCGGCATCGGGTGGCCGTCAGGGTGCCCATGCCAGGCCACCACGACCACGCGCCTTTGGGAGCACTGATCCTACATCTGGCGTTGCAGTTATGACATGCTGCGAGACGCGCCCGAGCGTGGAAACACGCCTTCCGCGTCTTCGGGCGAACCACCACAGGTAGCGGCCCGCCGCGGTCGCTTACAAGGCATACCTCCGCCACCAGATGCAGTTGATGAAGGAGACCGACTGCGGAGAGATACGAGGAACCTTCTTGCCTCAACCGGCTCGGGGGCTCCACGACTGCCCGACTGGACGAGATTTGACATCCAACACAGTCTGCAAAACCTCCGCAGTCGTGAACCCCACGTAGTCAAAAAGGAATTCCGCAAACTGCACTTACGGTGGTATCATGCGAAGGAACCCAAGATGAGGCTGATCCTAGATAAAGTGGGACTGGATAGTGTTCGACTAAATATGATAAAAGAAATCTGCGACACCTGTCGGGAATGTAGAGCATGGGGGCGCCCAGGTAACTCTACGCTACCTTCCGTGAGCCTTCCTGGAAACTGGCTTGACGAAGGCGAAGTAGATCTCATGTTTTACCAGAAACGGACCACATTCCACATTATGGACCGATGTATTCGCCCGGCAGCAGGCCAAGAAATTCCCGATAGAGAACGTGACACTATATTCGACGCCTACCACTACTGCTGGATCGCCTACCATGGACCCTTCAATGTCTTGTATTCAGATGGAGAAGGCGCCCTCAATAATGAAACTGCCAAGGCCATGATGGCGAATATGGGCACGGCACTTCGTATCCGAGCGCCTGGCCAGCACGCGACCTCGATCGAGTCACGCAATGGCATTCTTAGGGGCACTTTCCACATGATTGAGGAAGAGCTGAACAGACACAACATCCCCATTGTGTTTACTAGAGTACTGGCCGAAGGCATCTTCGTCACTAACGCTTTCACGTTCTACAGCGGAGTATCGCCATACCAAGCACACACTGGGCAACGGCCCTCTTTCCTTCCTGACCTCGACACCCTTGACTTCCCCTAGGGGCCCGAGACGTCAGGCCACGAACGCGAACGCCGCGTGAGGGAAGTCAGCCTGGAAGCAATCACTCAAGCCACGGCGGTAGCGAAGACGAACCGTGCCCTCAGGGCTAAAACGGCCCCAGATGGTGCTCGCCTATACTCAGCTGGGGACTTGGTCGATTATCACCGACCTACGGCCACTAAGGACGACCATGGAGGCTGGAATGGCCCGTTCCCTGTGATTCGTAACGTGCCTGAACGAGGACGCGTAGTCGTCAAGACAGGGTCGCGTGAGGTAATTGTAATGTATCCTGATGCTCGCCACACGCTATACGATGAATGCCTTCTCACCAGGGGACTTGGCATGGGCAACGTGGCCATGCAAACCGTCCTTACATATGTGGCACACCTTGGTGCGGGGAAACCTGCCAAAGTCTTTGGCGATATTCCAGATTACAAGGGGAACCTCAATCTTTCCGACGACAGCAAGTTTCACCCGCGCGTACACCTTGCACTACAGTATCTCGTGCGAAACTATTTCCGAGTTGAGCGCGTAGTAGCCGTGAGATTGGCCAAGAGCGCGCCCAACCTACCTGCGGTGAAGTACGCCACCGGGTCTACACTGATCCACTACGACAGCGATGTCAACCCAGCCTTCCACTATTATGAGTGTGTAGGCACCAGCCTGAGCATCTCTCAAATCACTGGTAGCACTCACTCCAGACTCATCCAGTGCCCGACGTCACAAGTTCCTTCCCTAGGATTACATGACGATCTTGCCAAGTATCAGCACTTGGACACGCCGTCTGGAGGACCCGACCAGCCTGGAGACGGGCCTCTTCCAGACACCCCAGGTGTTTCATCACCAAGTGAAGGTCGCCTGTCTACAATCTACGAAAGCGAGGAACACGACATCGAGGCCATGATGATGGTGGAGTGGTACGATGAGTTGCGTATGGGCCTTCATCCCACAACGGTTATCGACGACTATCTCTACTGCGTCCCAACAACCATGCTGCCCGACCAATGTGTCTTGGTCTCAGCATCTGCGGACGAGGAAGATACCGTTGTGTCGGAGATGCTCGGAGACGAGCCTGAACAACAAGAGCCCTGCCTTGTCTCTTTATGCTCGACTACACCTGACGAGGGCTATTCTCTTGACAGTGATGAACACGGTCCCTTTGTCGAGCTATGTTTCACGCCAGAAATGTCAAAGATCGTGCTGGGTCAGACCCAACTCGCACAGCTCGAACCAAACATGGTCGCAACGGTGAGAGTATACGTATCATCGGCTGCTAAAGGTGCTGTGGTAGTCAAGGAAGACGACCTACTCACCAAAGCCGACATAGCAGCACATCCTGAAGAGGTTAGTGAAGCCTTGTACACCGAACTCAAGGTCTGGCTTGACAACCGGTGCTTTGAGATGTATGACCTATCAAAATCTTCCCACATCATGACATCCCGATATGTATACAAGTGGAAGTTTGTGAAGGCAGGCACCGAGAATGTTAAAACTATCCGTCTTAGACTTGCCCTCCGCGGATTCATGGACACGGAGGCTTTCAATGTAGAAACCTTCTCGGGAATTGCCCGCCGACAGTCCCAGAGGCTTCTGGCAAGTGAGGCGGCATGCCATCCATAATGGATCTTAGCATCTATGGACATCGACAAAGCGTTCCTCAAAGGACTGACAAATGAGGAACTTGCTCATGCCACCGGCGAGGAGACTCGCATGGTCTGCTTCACTCTTCCACCAGGAAGTGCCCAGGTGCTTCGCACCTTACCAGGCTTCTCTTCCTACGATGAAAAACCGACGCTGCCTCAGGTGCCTCAAGCCAGGAACGGTTACAAAGGACGCCCCAAGAGCGTTCCCCCTCAAGCTTCGTACGACTACTGGAGCTATAGGCCTTGCACCGACAATCTACGATCCTGAATTTGAATTCAGTCAGGATCTGTTAACAGCAAAACACGTCGACGACATCAATATGACAGGCCTAGAGAAAAACGTAGACGACTATGTACAACGTGTCGAAAAGGTGTTTGGCAAATGCAAGCTCAACAAACATTATTACACCAACTGTGCCGTTCGCTACACAAAGAATGAACATGGGGATGTGATCATGGACCAGGACGAGTATATTATACAACTACGTCCTATCACACATCCTGAGCTTACGGGAGCAGCGGCAGACGCCATGGCTACCAAGCTCATCGCCGACATGTTCGTTAGCCTTCGAGGAGCTCTCGCCTATGCCCTTCCTATTCAAGTCTGGCTCATGGTGCATGTGGTATCTCTCCAGAAGATCCAAGAGTCCACCAACTTACAAGTCAGACGACTGAATGCTGTGACGCGAGAGCTGCTCAGCAGCCCGAAACGCGTCACCTTCCCTCGGATGAAACCGACGAATGAAGTGGACATACATAGTGATTCGGGGTATCGGGAATTCACCGGGGAGGAGGGCGAGGAAACCAAGGGCTACGGCATTCGTGGGGGTAACGTACTACGGCGAGGAAACTCGCCCCAGGGCAAATCCGTCGTTCACCTTTGCGACGGAATATGCAATTCACACCGACTGCAGGTGAGGTCCAGCTATGCCGCTGAGGCACTTGCAGCTGCACATAATCTTGATGAATGCTACCCCACGCCCATCACTCTCCGCGAGCTCAAGGCCGGAGCACTTACCCCACGACAGCTACGAGATATGCGTGAAGTTGGAGGCCTAGCTATCAAAGTATCCCTTACTATAGACGCTGAGTCTGTATACAAATCGTTATCCAGCAAAGACCTTAAGATACCAACGGAACGTACTTTGCTGGGACAGATCAGTTGGATACGTGAGCTCAAGGATATAGGTATAGTGCATAACGTACAGTGGTGTGACACTAGAGACATGACCGCAGACGGGCATACACAGGGGAGTATCGATCGGGAGCTGCTTTTGGCAGTGATGTCAGGCACTCAGTCATTTAAGTATGACGTGAAGCAGTTTGTTCCGTTTCGGGGCCCCGAGGACAACACCAAACCTAAGTCGAATCAATTTTAGTTTGTCCTTGTTGCCCCTGCGGTCCAGTTTGCCAGCACGGGCGCCTAATACGGAGGCGCCCTTTTTCCTGCTCGGAAACGAGCCATACTTTTCACGCTTGGCAGCGAGCCCGTTCAGGTTGGTTCAGGCTCTTTGCCTTGATACCCTTTTGCCCGGAGGGGAATAGCCTGTTTGGCTTACCTCTTGCCGGGCCGATAGCCCTTGTATATCCGAGGGGCTATCCTGTGCGTGCGTGGAAAAGTTTTGCGAGGAAACTCGCCGGCGAATAATCTCGCCCTTCAGTCTGGTGGTTGGCCAGACTGCGCATGCTGTTTTCCTTGCAAGCAGAGTTGCGCGCCTGTCGAGAGCCTAGCGACCGCGCGGCTTCACTCTCCGTCTCCTCCCCCGCCGACTTTACGGGTAGCTCTTTGGGAGATGTTAGAGATGATCGGGAGTATAGCCTGCGCGTCGCTGTTTTATGGCTCAAGGCACGCGCGCCCTATTTGCCCCGATACCTGACTTGGTATTCGCTGTGTGATGGAAAGATCACTACATCGATCTTATCCTATATTACTCATCCACACCCCATATCGTATTCCTTCGACATGGAATTGGATGCAATATGACTTACCAGAGTGATTTCAGACTCCCTTCCCTTTCCCCTTCCCTCTCCCTGTCCCCGCCCCCCCCCCCCCGAAGAGGTGGAGCAGCGGCTCACGGAGGAACACCAGCGGGACTTGTGGGAGCGTTGGCAGCGCCGCGTTGGGCGCCCGGCTGACGGCGCCCGCGGCTGAGAGGGCTGCGGCGCGAGCCGCGGCGGTGGTGCTTCCCTTGAAGTAGCAAGTCGCGTTTCATGTTAGCACGATCGTCTCTATGCCCAGCAGCGCTCTCGGCAGAGATTGGTCGGCTGCTTATGCACGCGTGAACGGCGCAGAGAGGTTGGTCATCGAGGTATAAGCATGTGCATAGACATTGACGGGACAGCAGTTTATATACATATGACGATCGAGATCGAGGTGCATTTGCAGTGCAGGCGGGGGACAGTCACAGGGGATACGGTCAGGAACGTTTGATTCGCGTCTCGCGCCGCTGGTTTTGGCCCACCCGCTTGGGCGCGACACGCTAAGCAAATCCCAGTCCCAAACCACGAACGTTCCGAGCGGTTCCCCGCCTCCCGTCCCATGAAGCATCGCGGCACGTCAAGGCGCAACCTGTCGCAGGGGCCGCTGCCGCTTCACGCTAAGCAAAACACTCCCGACGTAGGGCCGAAAGAAGGAAACGGGCGATTAGCCAGGGACTGGCCCAAGCCAAGGGCAGTTGGGGACGGGATCGAATGACGGCGATTGGCCATTTATTGGGTACAGGACCGGGCGTGGGACAGCCGGGGGCAGGACTGGAGGAAAGGAACTGGCGACCAGCGAGGGCCTAAACCTCCCCCAGTGCTCGCGCGGCTGGGGAAACGTCGATCTCATCCAAATCTACATCGGTGCAGCACGTATGTGCAATTACTCGCATTAGTTTCAAACTTATGTAGATTCGGCACCCATGACATGGCGACGCCCAAGTGAGACTATTTGTTAAGACTGGTTCATGTTATGCTCAAGTTATGTAATGAATTAGTGTGAGGTTATTGAGTTGCAACTCCAACGTAATCTGAAATTCAGCTGCCTGCGGCCCGTCCCGCCACCGTGCCAGCGCAACATTCTGTGACGCTTCGAGCACCGCACGGGAGGCCGCAACATGTGAAGCTTCTCGCCTCTGTTCCTTGATGGGCTCTCATGGGGGCTGCCTGGTCCGTCTTGGGACTGCCTTGGGCTCTGGTGGGGCCGTTTAGGGTTGTTTGGGGGCTCTCTTGGGCCGTACTGGTGACGTCTGTCTTCGGTTGTTTGGGGCCCGCCTCGGCCGTCTGGGGGGTCTTGTTGTGCGGCTGTCTTCGGAGCGTCCTGGGCGCCCTCGCGTGCCGTCTTGGGGCCCTCATGAGCCGTCCCCGGCACCTCTTGGGCCATCTCTGGGGCCACTTGAGGCTGTCCAGGGCCGCACTGGGAGCTTCTGGAGGCCCTCGTGGAGTTCTTTTGGTATATCCGTGGCTCCTCGGAGGCCTTCTTGCAACCATCCTGAGCCGAGGAGACCAGCAAAAGGCAAACTGCTCAATGCCTAAGGAGTTCGATAGGCGGCTAAATCAATCTGGCCTTGCAGGAGAGCCTCCTGGCTTGCTCGTCGATGTATTGGAAGCCGTGTGAGCCCGCTTGGCGCCTCTTGGGGTCTTCTTGGTGGCTGTTGGGTGCCTCTTGAGGCAATTCTGGGCCACATTCACGGCCTTCATGGCCTTCCTGGGCCGTCTTGGAAGCCGTGGGGGTCCTTGGAGAGTTCTATGGGAGCGTCAGGGCACTCAGAAATCGTTGGGAAGCGGGGGGGAAGCGTGTCGAGAGGAGGGTGGTGGAGGCCTTGTAATATTTTCAGGGACAAGGCCGCAGCGCACCTTGGGGAATGGTGGCGTCTCTCAGCACCCTCCAAGACGCAAGCCTTCATGTAGAGTCAGGTCAAGCCAAATGCACATTCAACACTTGGCCCATGTAGGAATATTTCGCGTTTGCATAGACTCCAGACTAGTTTCCCGCATCACTGACTGAACTGCCAATTCAACGTCACTTCGCATCGGTCTCTACATCAGCCTGAATCCAATCTCATTTGAATGCAACGCAATTCAAGTACAATTCACGTCTGATGTAGTTCCGAATATGATTCAGACCGCATTCGGAATTCGTTCCGATTATTCGTGAACCCGGTCTCCAAGTAATTCAGTTTCAATGCGAACATCGATTCGCTTCAAATGTGGTTCAGATCCGTTTCAAATTCAAACCACTGCGACCTGCGGACTCCGCGGCACCGCGATGCAAAGACACCGCAGCTCCACGGCAACACCCAGCAAATTCGCCCGCCCTGGGAGCGTGAGCAGCACGAGCAGGAGATATGGTGGCACGAACCGTGGCATTACGACAGCTAGCACACAGCCTCGCACCTCCAAGCTGAACGCGAGACAGGAAGCGCGATTTCCCGATTGAGGCTTGATGCCCCGTATTTCTAATCCAAGTGTAGGTCCATGTGGGAGTAACTGTATCGACGCGGACAGGTAAGCGTGCAGAGATCTGGACCTCCGACGATTGTTTTTTTCGAACCGCCAGCTCCTGGAGATCCCCACCCCTACCCCAGGACCAGTTTCTCGTCCTGAGTGGTCTTTGGATGTCCTGAGGCCAAGAAATGCGTTCCGTGCGCCTGAAATAGCGAAACAGTTATGATGTGTTTTTTTCCGAGTCGCCGGACCTTTGGGTACGGATATATAGGCTTGCACAGCTGCCGATGGGAAGAACGTTGGTTGCTATGCTCCGTGCGCCGTCGAGCGCAGATTGCTCTCACAACCCGATCTTGTCAGTTCAGGCAGCCGCGCTCATGCGTGAACTGGGCAGCTTGTCTGTCTCCAAGGAGTTTAGCTTGTCGATGCCGCTAGGAGCTCCCCGACCTGTGTAAATTGCTCCGATTGGAGCTGTAGGTTGCGCAGTCATGCGGTTCCGCTCTGGAAAAACGGGAAGCTATCCTCCTCGTCCTCTCCCTCCCGCCCCCCCTTTCTACTCCGCCCGTTCCCCCTCCTCATCGTCGTCTTTCTTTTTCCTTATCATCATATTCGTCATCCTCCTTCCTCCTGCCTTCCTTCTTCTGTCCATCCTCTTTTTATTCTTCCTCCTCGTCCACCTCCTTCTCCTCTTCCTCCTTCTCGCCCTTCTCGTCCTTGTCCTCCGTCTCCTTTGTTCTCTCACCCTTCTCCCACGCTCGTTGTCCTTATGCATAGTTCCTCTCTGTAGCACCCCGAGGCCAGTCGGAAGGGCGGGCCGTGTGCTTCGCCTGAGAAGTCTTCAGTTTATGATTCTGCAGCTTACGAATTAGGCTGGTTGTTTCACAGATGGAAGGTGGGCCGCTTCAAAATGTGGTTCTCGCCATAGCGCCGCGCACATCCGTCTCAAGTAACTGCACGAGCTTCACAATGTCGTTTTCTAAATGTCGTTCTCGCTTTAGCGCCGCGCGCATTTTTTTAAATCTTCGCAGATTGAGGGCGGGTCGTTTTCAATCTGTGGCTCTCGCCCTAGCGTTGCGCGCACTCGCTTTTAAATAATTGCATGTGCTTCGCGGATTCAGGGCGGTTCATTTTCATCATGTGGCTCTCGCCTCAGCGCCGCGCACATTCATTGCACATGCAGGAGTTTAACTGGTCCCCATGGCCAACGTACCAGAGATTGTGATTTGCAGCGATTCAGGATTGTCAGGGCGCAACAGTTACCTTAATTCGCCCTGTTGAAGTCCCAGGAATGGTGTTTTTTTTGCGCGCTGCAGGATCTTCAAACGGTTCTCTCCCAACGGGACACTTCTCTCAGTGGAAACGAATCTTTGCAGGAGCCTGTGAAGAGGGAGCTTGTAGGGAGATTTTGCTCACACAATGTTGATGAACCTTGGGTTTGCACTTGTCCTCCTCATCCTCCTCCTTCTCCTCCTTAGTCTTTCCTTTCAGTCCTTGCTTGGATGTATCGCCAAGCCCTGCTTGGTCTCCTTCCGTGCACTTGGGCGAGGGCGACGTGTGAAAGAGGCTCGGCGACTTGGGAGCGTGAGAGGGGAAAGGAGGAGGAGGAGGAGGAGGATCGAGGTTCGAGGATGAGGTTTGAGCTTTTCTCCCCAGCCCTCCTGTGTTGCGTTCTCGTTTTGAACCGAGCCCTGTGGGCTCCACCTCCTCTCCCGCCTCCCACCTCCTACTACCTCCTGCTGCGCTGCCCCCTGGGTGCTGTGAACTGCGCAACTGTCGCCGCCTTTGGCCGGCCGCCAGGATTGATGCTTTACGTTGACCATCATGAGACCTCGCCGTCCCAGTGGGGGAGGGGGGGGATCTGCGAAATTGTCGCCACTTTCGTGGGCTCCTGGAAGGCTCAGCTTGGCTTTCTCCCCATTTCAATACAGAGGTGTTGAAAACCCGACGTAACCCCAATGGCTGTGGATCGAATTATGTCCAGATTTCTGCATTTCTGTGGGCGTGTTCTTCCTTTCTGGTCCTCATGAAACAATCCTTATCATCATCGTCAGCGTCATCCATTCCATCGTCAGCAGCATCCTCATCATTATCACCATCGTCAACAGCATTACCGCGCCAGCATCATCGCCGCCGTCGGTTTCGCCGCCCGTGTCGAAAGAATGCGCGCGTGTACTTCATCATCATCCTCATCCTCATCCTCCTCATCGTCATCATCACTTCATCAGCATCATCATCAGCAGCATCATCATCATAATCACCATCATCATCAGCATCACTACCAGCATAAATTCATCTTCGTCATCATCATTGCCAGCACCACCATCATCATCACCATCATCATCATCATCATCATCATCACCACCATCATCATCATCATCATCATCACCATCACCGCCAGCGTCATCGTTGCCGCAGCCATCATCATCATCATCATCATCATCATCATCATCATCATCACCATCATCTTCATCACCGTCGTCGTCGGCGACATCGCATCGTCCCCATCACCACTGTCGTAATCTTCGGCGTCAGTGTCATCACCACTGTCATCGCCATCGTCGTTTTCGTCGCCGTCGTCACCATCGCCACCACCATTCCGCGATCTGAAGGACGAACTTGTCTGCGCGGTTGAATTCCACGCGCCCGTGAGCTCGTTGAGGCCGTAGCCATATGAGATGTGCCACATCGTTGCGGATGGGAGGGCGGGATGTTGGCACAAGCATC